TTTGGCTGGGCCTGGTTGAGTGGCTGGATAGCTGGAGGTAGTTATTCCCCATGAGACTGGTAATCAGCTCCATAGTGGAATCTACTGTGAGAAGCTGAGTAGATAGATGCCTTAGGGATGTGGTCTGCTTCTTGTGTATAAGGAGAAGTTTTGGGATTGGTCTTCAGCTTGTGGCATGCTTGAACCCTGCATGTAGCTGAATTGTTATTCAGCAGCCTGCCATGTTCTGCCAATTGAGGGACTTTCAATGGACTTGAATCAATGGCCTGCTGTGTTGTTAAAATTGGGACTGTTCCCTTTTACTTGTCAACCTTGAGTTTGTCAGCCTCAGCAGGCAGCAGCTGTCTGAGAGAAGAGATGTCTCCACCTTCAGTGGGCTGGGAGCAAGAGGTAGAGCTGAAGCCCAAGGTTGAGGGGCTTTCACCCAGCCCCTAGAGCTTGGCACTTTGAACTTGGACTTCTATCATCCCAAACTGTAAGAGAATAAACTTCTGATTGTTCAAGTCCACCCATTTGTAGTATATTCCTGTCAGAGTGACACTAGGTAACCAAAACAAATAGAATGTGGAAATTATCTAACAATATCGTTAATATCATATGCAAGTAAAATTTTGCTGAAGATAATTCATAAATGGTTGCAGCAGCATATTGACAAGGAACTTCCAGAAATTCAAGCTGGATTCAGAAGAGGACATGGAATGAGGGATATTATTGCTGATGTCAGATGGATCTTGGCTGAAACCAAAGAAAACCAGAAAGATGTTGTTCTGGTTACCTAGTGTTGCTCTGACAAGAATACGCCACAAATGGAATGGCCTTAACAAACAGGAGTTTATTCTCTCACAGTTTGGAGGCTTTAAGTCCAAGTTCAAAGTGCCAAGCTCTAGGGGCTGGGTGAAAGCCTGTCAACATTGGGCTTCAGCTTTGCCTCCTGCTCCCGGCCCACTGAAGCTGGAGGCTTTTCTTCACTCAGACAGCTGCTGGCTGCTGAGGCTGACAAACCCAAGGTTTACAAGTAAAAATGCACAGTCCCAATGTTACCAAACCACATGGAAGGCCATTAATTCAAGTCCATTGTAAGTCCCAAGGTCGGAAGAGCATGGCAGGCTGCTGAACAACGACACAGCTATATGCAGGGTCCAAGCGTGCCATAAGCTAGAGACCATTCCCAAGGCTTCTGCTTATATACAGGAAGCAGAACACATCCCTAAGGCAGCTACTCAGCTGTTCCCAGTAGATTCCACCATGGAGTTGATTACCAGTCTCATCATGGGGAATATGATATCTAGCTGGGCAGACACTCAACCAGGCCCAGCCAAGTCGACACACAAACTGAACTACCACAGATGTCTACCTGTGTTTTTTTGACTATGCAAAGGCATTTGACTGTGTGGATCATAACTAATTATGGATATCATTGCAAAGAATGGGAATTCCAGCCACAGTTACTTGTGCTCTGGAGGAACATGTACATAGACCAAGAGGCTGGTGTTTGAACAGAATGAGGGGATACTGCATGATTTAAAATCTGCAAGGATATGAGTCAGAGTTGTTTCCTTTCACTAAAGATATTCAGTCTGTATGCTAAGCAAATAATCCAAGAATGGATGATATGAAGAAGGATGTGGCATCAGGATTGGAGGAAGGGTCATCAACAAGCTGCAATATCTGGAGGACACAACCTTCCTTGCTGAAAATGAAAATGACTTGAAGCTCTTACTGATGAAGATTAAAGTCTTCAGTATAGATTACACCTCAACATAAAGAAAACAAAAATCCTCACAACTGGACCAAAAAGCAACACCATGATAAATGGAGAAAAGATTGGAGTTGTCAGGGATTTCATTTTACTTGAATCCACAGTCAACACCCTTGGAGCAGCAGTCAAGAAATCAGCCATTTGCTGCGTATGAACAGGGAGACAGCTTGGGGGCAGGAGTGCATGGGAGGGAAGGACACAGGGAAGAGGTAACTATGGGAAGGAAGTGGGAGGGGAGCTGTTGCATTGTGGGAAATTGCAGTCAATGTTATGAGACAAAGTGTATGTGAGCTGCTGCATGGAAAGTGAATTTGCTCTGTAAACTTTCACCCAAATCACAACAAAAATTTTTAAAAAAGGAAAAAAAAAAAAAATAGAGAAAGAAAGAAATCAGCCATCATGACTAGTAGACCGTGAGATCCTTAGGTATAAGATCATGAGGCCAGAAGAATTAGATGGTGCCCAATTGCCACTGTCAATCACTCAGAAAGGGATCAGTGCAGTAGATGCTGGATAGAGTGGGAGAACAATGTGGAACAAAATTCAAAATCATAAAAAAGACCAGGTTTATTGGTCTGGTAGAGCCTGGTGAGACACCTGAGACTATCACCCCTAGTTACCCTTCAGGTCTGGAACTGAGCTCATTCCTGTGGCTTTCAGACAAACAACAGACAGGCATATAGGGTGAACATTTACATCAGGGAGATACACTCCTTAGAGCAATCAATCATTGGAGAACAGAAGGGCAGTGTTTGCATAGGGAAATAGCTCAGGGGCAGGACAGAGAGGAAGTGGGAAGAGAGCTGTTCCATTGTAGGGAATTGCAGTCAATGTCATGAAACAATATGTATGAACTGCTGTGTGGAAAATGAATTTGTTCTGTAAACTTGCATGCAGATCACAATAAAAATTTAAAAAAGAAAGAAAGAAATCAGCCATGGTATCGTACTGGGCAAATCTGCTGGGAAAGACCTCTTTAAATTGCTAGGAACCAAAGATGTCACTTTGAAGACTAAGTTGCACCTAACCCAAGCCATGGTATTTTCAATCACCTCATATGCATGTGAAAACTGGACAATGAATAAGAGAGACTGAAGAAGAGTTGATGCCTTTGAACTGTGGTGTTGGCGAAGAATACTGAAAATACCATGGACTGCCAGAATGAGCAAATGTGTCCTGGAAGCAGTGGAGACGGAATGCTCCTTGTAAGTGAAAATGGTCAGACTTCATCTCACCTACTTTGGGCATGTTGTTGGAAGAGACCATTCCTGGGAGGATATCATGCTTGGTTTACAGTAGAGGGTCAGTGAAGAAGGGGCAGACCCTCAACAAGATGGATTGACACAGTGGCTGCAACGATGGGCTCAAGCATAGCTCAAGGACTGTGAGGACGGTTGCAGGACCAGGCAGTGTTTTGTTTTGCTATACACAGGGTCACTATGAGTTGGAGCTGACTTGAGGGTACCACCACCACCAACAAAAGCTATTGTTGATAGTGGCTGTTGAGTTGACCCTTGACTTGTGGTGACCTCATGCACAACAGAACCAAACTTGGCCCGGCCCTACACCAGTCCCACTGATGGGTTGTGGATTGGACTCTTGTGATCCATAGGGTTTCACTGGCTGCTTTTCAGAAGCAGGTCACCAGGGCATTCTTCCAAGTCTGTCTTAAATGGGAGTTCTGCTGAATGCTGTTCAGCACCATAGCAACCGGCAAGTCTTTGTTGACAAATGGGAGGGGCTGTGCATGAGGTACACTGGCCAAGAATTGAACACAGGTCTCCTGCTTGGAAGGCAAGAATTCTACCACTGAACCACCAGAACGACGCCTGTAATGAATACCAAGTGAGAATATTCAGGCAGAGCTCCAATGCTTGTTATATAGTAATGTCCAAATTAAATTCACTGCCATCAAGTCGATTCCAACTCATAGCAACTCCCAGCATGTTTCCAAGGCTGTAAATCTTTGTGGAAGTAGATTGCCTCATCTTCCTCCTGTAAAGTGGCTGGTGGGTTCAAACCACCAACCTTTTGGTTAACAGCCCAATGCCTTAACCCCAACTTCACCAGAGTACCTTAGTAAATATCCAAACCAACCAACCAACACTGTCATTGAGTCAGTTCTGACTCACAGCAATCCTTACTGGGTTTCCAAGGCTGTAAATCTTTATGGAAGTAGATTGCCTAGTCACTCTCCCGTGGAGAAGCTGGTAGGCTTGAACTGCTGACCTTTTGGTTAGCAGCCAAATGTCTTACCCACTATGGTACCAGAACTCCTTTAGTAAATATGCAGTAAATGTTAAATAATATTATGTCATTAGTTTCTTGTTATTTTACCACACTTGAACTGAGGCTCAGTTCAATATATCCTATCTGTATTAACTCAGCCCACCATGGGCCAATGATGGTACAACATAATAAGCAGGTGATAACTGGCCTGGGTTCCATGAAGTACTTTACCTCTCTTACAGCACAGGTGCTCACTGCAATCCTTGTGATCCTGATCATATACAACTATTGGCTCCTTTACGTCCCTTACTTGACATGGCTTTACTTTGACTGGCACACCCCAGAGCAAGGCGGCAGGCGATCCCAATGGGTCAGAAGCTGGACAATTTGGAGGTACTTTAAGGACTACTTTCCAATTCATGTGAGTAACATTGTTTTCTGTGGCATTGCTTTGAGCTGGGAAAAGAATAGAATTTCATATTTCTAGCTTTTTCCTTTTCAGAGGAGGAAAGCATAGAATTTGGCTTGAGTTGCTAAATGGACTCTGAGCTAAATTGACTGAGAGATCTGTGTGTGAAGAATGATGGGCTTAGGAGGTAGTTTGAACATTTGAAAACATCTCCAACCCAGAGAAATAAAAAGTCCTGTTGTCTGTTTCTTCTTCACATGAGAACTAGTTATGAGTCTTTTAGTTTCTCATTAGAAACTAATAAGGGAACATTTTATTTTTTATCTCAATATAAATGTGCTGTAGCTTATCAAAACTTGGGATTTGGATCCAAGTCACAACTACATATTTGGGTATCATCCTCATGGAATACTGGTTGCTGGAGCCTTTGGAAATTTTTGTACAAACTATTCGGACTTTGAGGAGCTGTTTCCTGGCTTTACTGCATATCTCCATGTGCTCCCATTTTGGTTTCGGTGCCCTTTCTTCCGGGAATATCTGATGAGTTCTGGTAAGTGAAGACAAATAACTACATGATTGAGGGTGGTGGGAGCATGCACAATCCCCCTGACCCCCTGCCCCAACGCGGTTGGGCAGACAGTCTCTCGGGATAACCCTCTGTGTCCTTGTCCCTGTCTGGGAGTTCATGTGCTGCCTGGATAGCTCTTGCCTCTGGACCGTTACATGCTGAAAGGACACAGGCCGTGTCTTGTTTTTTTTTCCCATCCCAAGCATCTAGCTCAGTGCCTGAAAAATACAAATGTTCAGTCAATATTTGTTCAATTAAAAAATGACTTAATGAATATATTTCTTGGATCCAGTTGTGAAAGAAAGAATCATGGGTCAAATAAGTGATAAGGAGAAGCTCTTTGCAAATATTAGAGAAAGAGAATGTCTTCTAATGTGTCTTGAAGGAATGGCAGTGATAGGAACTGAAAGTATTCAAGTGGCTCTCTTTTTATTCCTAGATTAACTATAACTTAGTTCTGCTACTGTGAACCAGTGAAGACTCGTTGATTAATGAAACCATAAGTCTACTCATTCCAAGATAAAATTGAGCCATAATGCTATAAAGATCCTTTATGAATGTGCACAGCTGCTGATACTACCACTCATTTCAACTTCTGAGGCTCAATTTGCTTATTTTTCCAAGTTGAGCAGCTTGGCAACAAACCATGAACTATAGAAACTTATAGAGTGTTTTAGACTTATGAGCACTGTCTAAGTTAATTATTATTGTCTTTGCATTTCTTGGATATTAATGAAGCTGTATAATCTCTTTTTTAAAAGTTATAATTTCAGAATCAATGAATGACATTCAGGAATAGAATATCTCATGGTCTCCCACGTTTTCATGACTTCCTGTTAATTTCTCAAGTCTCTATTATCATTAGGTAGCTGTTAGGAAATCACCAAGTATGAAGGGACCAGAATCTACAGCTAGGTTCTCATGTCCTGTTTGTGGACTCTGGAGTCCAGTCTGTGCCATCTCTACATATGACCTCTAGAGGGCACACTAAAACCCCAAACTACCACTGAGGGGAAAAAAAAATCCTTTCTTGTCCCTTTTCTGCAGACATTGTTTTAGAGTTTATCAAAAGGAAGAAATTTCCAAAAAGCACAGAAATATATTTATAGGATTGTTGTTGTGTGCTGCTGTCAAGTCGATTCTGACTAACAGCGACCCTGGAGGACAGAGTAGCGTGGGTTCAGAGGGTTTCCTAGGCTACAGTCTTCACAGGGGCAGATCACCAGGTCCTTTCTGCCATGGAATGCCTGGTAGGATCAAACTGCTGACCTTTTGGTTAGCAGCTGAGTGCTTAACCACTGCACCACTAGGACTCCTATGTACAGTATGTTGTTGTTGTTGTGTGCCCTCAAGTTGGACCTGACTCACAGCGACCCCTCCTTGGGTTTCTGAGGCAGCATCACTACTGAAGTAGATTGTCCAACCTTCCTTCCGGGGGGTGGCTGGTGGGTTTGAACCGCCAGCCTTCTGATTAGCAGTCAAGCCTTAGGCACTATGCTACCAGAACTCCCTATCTACAGTATGTTGTTGTTGTTGTTATGTGCTGTCGAGTCGGCCCCGACTCATAGCGACCCCTCCTTGGGTTTCCGAGGCAGTATCACTACAGAAGTAGGATTGCCCAACCTTCCTTCCGAGGAGTGGCTACAGTATACTGTTTGTTAATTCAAAGTATAGCCGTAGGTGAGTTTGACTAGCATGGCTGAGTAGGAGTGACAGATTCAACTGGTTCAAGAAATGCCTGCACGCCCCTCTCTCATGGACAAGCCAGAGGCAATCTGAGGCTCTTCCTCCACTGCCCTTCCACAGCCACTGGGAGTTACCAGAGTTCACAGCTGAGACGAAGCCCGTCTACCATCGCTGGCTTATGACATCATGAAAGCTTTTCCTTTGCTACAACCTTACATGTCCTAAAAGCAAAATGAAAATCTCCAAATAACCAGTGAAGTTTTAGATTATCCTTGTGTCTAAGTGTAAGGAATTCTGGTGGTGCAGTGCGTAAGGTATTTGGGTGCTAACTGGAATGTTGGCAGTTCAAACCCACCAGCCACTCTGCAGAAGGAAGATGGGGCAACCTACTTGTATAAAGATTTACTGCCTCAGAAACCCAAAGGAGGTCGCTATGAGTCGGAATTGATTCAATGGCAGTGAGTTTGTTTTTTTTTTGGTTTTTGTCTCTAAGTGTAGAGGCTTCCCAGTCTCTTCCAGAGTCAGGTTTCCTGAACAAGCCCTGGTTCAAGGCTGCCTCTCTGCATTCTGGCTCAATGACTAACTCTGTGGATATGAAAGACAGACAGACACGTGCACCAGAGCTCATGCAGTAAAGAATCAGAGGGTTTCATTTTAGAGATCCTTTGCTGGATGATGTTTGTTTTGCTTTTATCCAGGAAGTTTCTGTAGCAATATTGTGTGTGTTAGCTGCTGTTGAGTCAACTCCCGACTCGTGGCAACTCTGTGCAAAGCAGAATGAAATGCCGCCTGGTTCTGCACCATCAATCACCAGGATCCATTGCCAGTGGACCCATTGTGACCTGTAGGATTTTCACTGGTGAATTTTTAGAAATGGAGCACCAGCTTTTCTTTATAGTCCATCTTAGTCTGGAAGCTCCAGTGAGACCTGTTCGCATCGCAGCAGCACACAAACTTCCACTGAGAGATGGGTGGTAGCTACACACTAAGTGCACTGGCCAGGAATCCAACTTGGTTCTCCCTTGTGGAAGGTGAGAATTCTACATCCAAATCACCAGTGCCCCTCTCTGTGTCATTAAGTCCTTGGAAATTCCACCTCCAACCTATTCCTGTTGGCCTATTTTGACACCTCACCAGATGTCAGCCAGAGCAGACTCCACGTTTCAAAGCTTACATTCCTTTTTGTTTATCCATTAAGATTGGGCAGGTAGCAGGGATCACATTACAACAGCTTTATCTATTATGCAAAGGAGTTTAGATTTTATCCTCTAAATAAGCAGCACGGAACTTGTGAGAAATTTTTAATGAAGGAGAATCCTGATCGATTTTTGTATGTTAGATCATTCAGGCCACAGAGTGGAAACAGATTGGAGGGAGGTGAACATAGAGCCTGTGACGATGAAAGAGGCCATTGCTATGATCACGGGAGAGATGATGAGGGCTAAACTATAGCATTGACGAAACAGTGGAAACAGAAAAGAGGATCAGCATGAAAAAAAAAATTTGATGGACAAATCAGTAAGACTTAGTAATTAACTCAGACTCATGATAGCAACAAACTATACCTTACTAATATTATACCCTCAGTATATAGCACAGTGCCTTGCCTCTAGCAGATGTTCTATAAATGCTTTTGAATGAATGAATGAATGAGCCAGTCAATGCACTGGGTAAGAGAGGGGATTAAATCTTGGCACAGCCTATGTTTCTGACTTCAGTGACTGAATAGATGATGGTCTCAGTCACTTTGGTAGGTAATGTTGGAAGATGAATAACTTTGAGGGAGAATTTGGTGAATTGAGTTTGGAAATAGAGTTTGAAGTGACATTGAGACATTCAGGTAGAGATGTCCATTGGGCTGTTGGAGATGTGGGCCTGCAGTTTCAGGAGGCCAGTCTCTCAGCAGATGGATTAGGGAGAATTTAGCACACAGAGATGGTGGTTGAATCCATGGGTGTGGATTAGGTTAGAAGATAAGAGAGACAATGAAAGGGTCCTGGGAGATAGCAGATTTAAGGGTGACCTGAAGAAGGGCGTCTGAAGAGGAAACTGAGAAAAAGTGAACAAAGAGGTAGGAGGCCAGCCAAGAAAATCGGGTGGCTAGAAATCTACCCAGGCTCTCTTTCCTGTGAAAGAAATGCCTTCACCTTTCACTCTGCTCACATGGAGCAGAGGTGATGGCCATGCTTGGAAGTCAATGAAACTTTGTAAACCTTGGGTCAGGTACCTCTGATGCACCACCCCCTGCCTTTTCACACAAGAGAGTGATTCAGAATACTGTCATCATTCTACAATTTTCTCAGTGAGAGAAACCCACAAAAAAATTAACGTAATTTTCTCTAAGAGATGAGGTATGTTATGTCTTTATAGCAGTCTGTCAAATACTTTCTGTTATGATTTAAAACATAGATAAAATCAAGAATATCAAGAAGATATTAAAAAACAATCATCTCTGAAATGCAGGTCATGTGTGGTTTGTGTTTTCATCTTTATTTTTTGTATTTTCCACTCAGTGTCCATAAATTTATAAGAAGAAGATCCTTGAAAGTTATTTTTTAAATTTTTATTTATTTTTCACTGTGATTTGGGTGAAAATTTCGAGCAAATTCACTTTCCATACAGTACTTCACACACACGTCGTCTCATGACATTGACAGTTTACTCCAATGCAACACCTCCCTTCCCACTTAGTTACCTCTTCCCTGTGCCCATCCTTCCATGAACTCCTGCCCCCTGAACTGTCTCCCTGTGCATAAATAGCCCTTCTTTCTGCAATGATTGTTCTCTCCAAGGAGTGTATCTACTTCGGGTACGTGTTCAACTCTTATGCCTATCTTTGAAAGTTATTTTTACATGAGAAAGCCCAATACAAAGACTGAACAACTGTGCAACTATCTTAAATAAACAACTCACCAAAGTCAGATTAGATATTTTTCAAGAACTGTATAGCGATCTAGCAAATGGTTTAGGTTATATGTCAAATGTCTGAATAATTTGAAGCCATTTATATTATGAATCCTGGTTTGGAAAACCATGTAAGATATCTATATAGAATCCATATGTTGTTGTTGTTGTTGTTATGTGCCATTGAATCGGACCTGACTCATAGCGACCCCTCCTTGGGTTTCCAAGGCAGTATCACTATGGAAGTAGATTGCCCAACCTTCGTTCCGAGGAGTGGCTGGTGGGTTTGAACCACCAGCCTTCTGGTTAGCAGGCGAGTGCCTTAGGCACTAGGCTACCAGAGATCCTAGAATTCATATAGGATATCTGAAAACAGGCCATGATGTTTTCAGAAGATCTAGAGCAACCTCTTGAAGGACATACTTTTCAGTTCTAGCCAAGCCACACCAGGATGATGATGAAGGCCACCACATGTGGCCATAGAGTTTGCAGACGGAATGATCTCTGAGGAGTACTTTTTACTTGGAATGCAATATGAATGGGGTTCTGTTGAGTTGAGCATAGCACAGCCTGCTTAAACAAAGTGGTCCTGGCCATGATTAGGTGACATTTGATAACCATAATCTTTACGATGTAGTGCTTCACATACTAAAAACTGAATCTATCACCTGCTAAATGTCAGATCTTATTAACAGAGCACATTACCAAAAGTGTACACATTACAACAGCCTTACGTATTATGCAATGATTTGGCTATGCAGAAGCTATTAACTTATAAAACTCCAAACATAAGCAGTGTAGGAAATTTTCTGGTGCCACACCATAGAACATTATGATCAAGGAAACCTAATGTTTTCAAAAAGGGTAACTTTTGTTTTATTTATTAAGGGCCCGTCTCTGTTTCTAAGAAAAGTGTGTCCTACGTGCTGAGCAAAGAGGGAGGTGGAAATATTTCAGTCATTGTCCTTGGGGGTGCAGAGGAGGCACTGGATGCCCATCCCGGGAAGTTCACGCTGTTCATCCGCCAGCGCAAAGGATTTGTTAAAATGGCTTTGACCCATGGGTAAGTGGCTTCTCATTTCATTCCCTGGGTCAGGGGAGTTTGACATTAGTAAATGAAAGAGGTAAAGAATTTTTCTAGCCCTTCAAGACCAAAACAACAACAACAAACAAACTCACTGCCATCAAGTCAATTTTGATTCATAGAGACCCCTTTGGGCTTCTGAAGTGGCAAAAGTTTATGGAAATAGATTGCCTGGTCTTCCTTCCGTGGAGTGGCTGGTGGGTTTGAACCACCAACCATCTGTTAGCAGTCAAATGCCTTAGCACTACATCCCCAGAGCTCCTTGACCTTAAAGACAGAGCTCCCCAAATCAGTCTTAAAATCTAAGCAGGTGTGTGCATTGTTAGGGAATGGGATACAGCCTCCCTATAACTTGGTACCATGGCATCTTGCAATTAAATTTATCTTTAAAAGGAAAAACAAAACAAAATTTTATATATACAATGTAAATTTCTAGCCAAACAAACAATGGCCAAAGTTATAATTGAAATAGAAACTTCCTGGAACATGGTTTCCAAGAAGAATAAAAGAATAAAGTTCTGTAAATGGCTAGACTAATGAGTTACCTGGCCAAAAATTTCAAGCATAAGGCAGTTTCAGTGTGTGGAACATGGAGTTAGTCATATCAAGACACTTGGAGTCCGTGGGTGGTGCCAGCAATTAACATGCTTGGCTACTAACCGAAGGGTTGAACTTTGAGTCCACTCAGAGGCACCTTGGAAGAAAGGCTTGGGGATCTGCTTCTGAAAAATGAGCCCGTGAAGCCCCCATGGGGCACAGTGCTACTGTGACGCACGCGGGCTCGCCAGGGGTCAGAATCGACTTGATGGCAACTGGATTTTAGTTGCAAAGTCAGCTGGATAGATGAAATATGAAATCCTTCTCCTCTAAAATTCTTATTCTTTTTTTTTTTT